TATATACGATGCTCGCGAAACTCAAAGTCCCGTTCGGCCCAGTTTATGTTCCACAATTATGCGACACTTTACTCCGATACGATTCTCGGCGAACTAAACACGTCGTAAACCGGCTTTTTTAAGAGCGCGTTAAAACTAATTTAGTGCGTCTCATCATTTACCTAGTTCCGCGCTGGTGTAAAAATGCACAGAGCACTTTGGCCAGTCATTCAGAGGCCCCGCGAGTCTATGTTACCAATAATATGGTATAAAATTATTATTTTCAAATCATATGGGATTAGATTATCTTATGTATTAGAGATGTCTAATACTTGTCTAGTCTAGATGTCTAGTGCACTCGTATTTAAAATGCACGCGGAAATCGAGATGTTCCTTTGGGAAAGGTACAATTACTTGCCCGGAATTAAAGCCATTAAAGTTACTCTGCCTTCTTAAAAATAATCTAAGTTCCAAACACAGATTAGACAACTTTTTCATAAATTTACTTTATTATCATTTTGGCCTTTAAAGTTTATCTAGAAGAAATATTTTATTTTCTGACCTTAAAAACCAGTGTAAAAAGTTAATTAAAGTAATTAAAAAAGAAAATAATTAAAAAAGTAAAGTAAGAAAGAAAATAAAAAAGTTAATTCACTCGAACATATTACGACCTAAAATTAACAATTAGTAGTAATGCTTGAACATCGTATAAATTACAAGTACCTGCATATATGTATATAAAATCCCCAAAAATAAGATTCGAAATTAATACACCGATGGATTGCTCATGGGAAATTTCCATTTTTTGATGGAAAATTTTTGAGGAAAAAGTGATAATTTTACAGAAATCGATATCGGTGCAATCTCTGCCACCTAGCTTGCTCTGTGAGCCCGGCGCAATATTTAATAGATCATTAAAACTCCGTCAAAAGATTTTTATTGTGCTTTTACGATCAGAAATCGGATATAGTTTGTCTTTTTTACGGTGCCGTATGATTTTTACGTTTTGTGTTTTTATTGTAGCGTTACGCCGTAACTACGGGAGATTAATTTTCATTGTTCCTAAAGATGATATTGGCTATTAAGTTTCCCGCTTTCCGTGGACTCCAGCATATTGTGTTTTATTGACGGATTTTCGAAACGTTCATCCCGCTTGATATTTGTTCTGTAACGTTTATGATAGCCTAGTAAATTTCACCGTTCTTGCGTCATAACTTTCTCCGTATGTTGTAATATTTCTGGACGGTAGTTGGTATGCTTCGTAGTCTTAAGGTCTGCGATTTCATGCCTTGTTAAGTTTATTGGATCTCTTGTCCGTTCATACTTTTTGGCATCCTAGAAATAAAACCGCCTACCACCGTCGTGCATGCGTAATATTTATGGTATACGACTTTGAAACTATTTCGTATGATCCGTTTCTATGATTTCATTTGTGCTTGATACACGACTCAAGGCGCCATCTTTCAAATTTTGACATCTGGGCTGGTAGAACAACCTAGGCTTAGGTTAAGCGTTTAAACGAACTTCTGCTCTCGATCTCCTTTGAAACTGAACTTCTCTAGTCATACCATTCGTTCAAAGCGACAGCTGCGTGGTTGTATTACAATAAAATCTAGATTGTTTGTCGACATTGCTACGTGTAAACATGAGATGTGGTGCTAAATCAGAGCATCAGCGATCGACTTGTGGCCCCTGTTATATAATATTGTATATGTTTATATATATATCTGTATATGGCGTGGTGTAGCGACAAGGGCGCGTCGTGTAGCGCGCGCTGGGATAAATCGGCCGATCGAGAGAGCGTTAACATCGCAATCTGGATATTTATTGGATGTTGTCCCACACTCCGCCGACTGTATTTTGATGCTGTTTATTATCCGACGGTCGGCTGTACACCGAACTCGGGACGGTGCACTTGCGTCAAACTGGCGAGCCGGGGAATGCCGTTTCGTTATCACGACCTCGGTTATCTTTATCTTCGTCTGATACTAGGATTGTGTAACACGTCGCCCGTCACAGGTCTAGCGAAAATGATAACTTTTCCAGGGGGAGAATCTACATGGCGTGGTTAATGAGGTCCAAATCTTGCCTTGACATGATTGGTAATTAGAGTATAGACAAAATGAATTATCATACTTTCACAGTTGTCTACGTTTGTTGTATTTATTGTCTAGGTGAGATATAGAGAGAAAAAAATTATTTGAACACAGAATTTGCAAAGGACTCGTCATTACTCAGGTCTATGTAGTCTTCTACCAAGTACTTATTAAGACCTTCAAAATATGCCATTATCATATTGTGGAAATATGAGATCAGTGGAGATTAACTCTCCATTTATCCGACCCAAAATCAACTAAGGTCTAACCCACACACCTGAAGACTCACTTGTGGCGAACAGAAATACAGTCGTCGTGGCGAATACCATTCAAGATGAGATCAGCATAATATCAAAAAGAACAATATACGATTATATTCAAACTGATCCTCGCGATCGAATTGCATTTCGCAGAACGAAATGAAAATCTAACAATTTTATAACACAACACTCGTCCCTACCCACAGCGGAGGGCCCAAACCCGTGGGGTCTGGCTAGCCCACCGGTTCTGCGTCAGATGAAGCTTTAATAGTCTCGGGACTGAAAGCAAAAACATCAGTTGATACTTGTATTAACTGATGTTTTTGCTTGCGGATTACGCGCGAAACGTGTTGTGTTGTATCAAGATTTCGCGCGTAATCCGCAAAGCAACAATTTCAATGCAGAATGCGCCGCGTTTTAAATTTGCTTTAAAATAAAATCGGACACAACAGCCGAGGCCCTCCCGTCTGCGCGAAATATATAATAACACGTCAGTCGCCCGCGGAAATGTTTTGACGTTCACTTGACAACTATTGTTGTTTCACCAGTGCGCTTGATCGTTGCATCAACTTTGGCATTTCTACGTCACTAAGTAATGAAACAAATACGTTAGAGCTTGACAGTGACACATGTCAAGTGAAGTAAAATAGAGTTTTCATGTATGTAAATGATTTTGTCAGTAGTAAATAGAGACAATTTTATCAATGCCTTTAGGTATATAATAAATAGCATTATTTTAAGAAAATCTATATCAGGCATTCTTTTGCAATGTTTACTTATAAAAATATTATAAATTATATATTAAAAATATTACATTACCCTCCTGTTTTACCATGTTCCACCTTTAAATATATCTGTATTAAAGTTTCAATAAGAAGGAAGTAAGTAGACACTATACAAAGTGATAAACCCCGATCCTAAATTGAAGCATTGCTAATGCGTGCTTAACTTGAAATCACGTTTAAAGTGACCCGTATATTTCATTTTAAATTGAACGCGAATATTTCATAATAAAGCCTTGTAACTGTCCACAGGTGTAACAGTATCCTATTTATTGTCTGTCTCTCTCGTCTGTAAAAAGAAATGAAGAAGAAGGCGCTATTTGCCGAAAGCGCTCGAAAGACATCCGTACCTACGTGCTATGCTAATGTCAAAATTTCAGTTCATCAAAGCACTAAACTTCAGTTCATTCGAGGCGTTCGAGTTGTCTTCACTTAACGATCTCCATATTATCGCCCCGATAGCCGTGAACGTCGTCGCCCAATAATGGAGGGAAACGCGACGGCAGCCGCGGGGCGTCATGATAGTTTTATTCGTCATTAGTAGGCGAGCGCTCTCGGGGGTGAATGGCGCATAACTTTCTTTAAAGGGCGGAATAGAAGCGATCGTCTCCAACGGAACGCTGAGTTATGAATGACGCTGAAGATTGCGCCGCGGATGCCGCAAGCGGAATTTGGATGCGGCACTCGAAGGAACCGTGACTAGCGTTAATAGCGTTAAATACATTTTGACAACAGCCAGTACACTTGCATGAAACGTCCGTACTATAAAAGTTGTGCTAGTTGTGCTAGCTAAGATTCAAGAAAAATGAGAATTTATGAATAGCTTCACATGGTGAAACGTCTCTAACTAATATATATACTTCTAGCAACGAGTGCAGAATAAATAAGCTAAGAGTAAATTTTGATGTTATGCCACTGTATGGCTTGTTCCAAAAGCAGCATGGAGCACGCGTATTTTATCTTAACTTAATTAGTGTCAATCCATCCGTCGCGTTTGGGTCTTAACGAACTCAGGTTACTGTAGATTGTAGTATAAAAATCATCACCTCGGCTTAAATTAGAGAGCTTATACCACTAAACATATATAATAATTCGAGATGCCGCCTCCGAGGCCGCTTCGCGCCTCCGCGCCGCCGCCGCACAACAGACCCGGTCGCACAATAATAATACGTCAACGTCGCCTCACTATCTAAATGGCGTTTGAATTGTTTCCATCAATAAGGCACCGAGTGTGTATCCCTGTTGCAGTCGGCGCTCTGTTTTTATTTAATTTATTACGCCGACGGACCTGTAGCCGACTTCACGTGTCCCACCGACGGCCGCTCGATATAACGACCCCATATACATCGGGGTCTCCTCGGAAAATTGGCACAAGGAACGTGTTCGAGTGTACTGCCCCTTTGCATTTGCGTTTTATTCGACATTTTAAATGTCGTCTTTATTGAACTCAAATTGTCGGGCTGACGGCGATCGTGAATGATTAATTGTAATGGAGCCTTTTTGCATAAAAATCGTAAACATTTTTCCGTGGCTAATTATGTTGTTATATACGGTAACATACTTCAATTAAGAGAAGTAATGGTAACGGTTTACAGTTAATGAGGTGAGTATAAGAGTAATTTACTATTCCAATTTATATTTTAAATTATTTAGTTTGACTCTTACGAAACAATCCTGAATTCAGAAATTGGGCGTTAAAAGTGTGGATACGTGCACAAGCGACTCCCCGGCTAAACTCTTTATTTACACGTCCACTAAATCTATTGTCCGCCGTCGGTATCTATCGCAAAAGGGGCAAAAACGCGTGGGCCGTAGGGTGACAACGCGTTGCATGTCTGCGGACAATGTTCGTGGGACACGCGGACAGCGTGTTCACACGATCAGATTGCGCCTGCTTTATGGCGCTGAGCGGGGCCCATTAGCGACGGCCGCTGCCTGAATTGCCTAATTAGAATTACAAGGCCCGGTGCGCCGACGACGTAGTAACCGGTTCCGAGGATCGCTATTCGCGGCACCCAGTCGATGGAGACTCCCTCACCCTCCCTGTTAAGACCCTGTTTCGACGTAGCCACGTATCGGACATCTTCAGACTTATCTGCCATATTGGCTGTAGGTGCCAGCGACTATGTAATGCCTCTTCAGTCACCGGAAAGGTATCAGACGTTCCCGCGTCTTCAAGTTCGATCCGATGCAATCTGAATGCACCAACCACACAGCGAGTGACCGACGAATAAAATTTGAAATTTACGACTGTTTAATTTTATCGCTCCAGGTGAAGGAAGAGAATTAGTCGAAGCGAACGGTGCGTCGTTTAATGCCTAATGTCGCGGCATTATCTCCGTTCGTTGCACGTCCAAGGGGCGCGCGCATAAAGATATCCGTGCCGCAACACGAGGGCATTATCGCTGAAATATCGATACGATTTCCTTGATCTGCGAAATAAAATGTCGCGGCGTTCGGCGTTTGTCCGCAATTTATGCACGCGCGCGCGTCGCGGACCCGTCGTAAAACTGAGGACGTTATGGCCGCTGATAAGTGCGATGGCGGCTATCGGACTGTCCGCCGCGCGACAGGTTTATCGTGGACACCCCACCGGTGGACAAATTGGACGGCGTGAGTTTTTTTGTTGTTCCAGGGCAACGTTCAGGGACCGCTTTCGGTGGGAGCCCTCGCGCTTTTATTGCCCACTTGATTTCACGAGCTGACGAATACGTGATAACTGCGGTTTTTTGAAGATCCGATTGCGTCCTATGATCCCAGTGTTATCTAATGAAGTTAGTGTCCGTGATAGCTGCGTTTTATGCTTTTTTTATTTTGAGGAAAGATATTATACATGTTATATATTCTATTGATACTAGTGTCATAACAGTATATGCACACACGTGTACTGTTCTGACACTAGAATCAATAGAAATATAAATTATATTACATTAAAAAAATGTTGATTGTCGAAATTATCTTTCAATGGCTCGAGATCACTCAATACCAAAAACGCTGATGTTTTAATTGCTTAGTTATCTGACGAAACCTTTTTCAATTTTTTTGCCCCCTGCAATGATCCATTTTATTGACAAATCATCCATCACTCATCGCGATCTCAGACTGCAACTAAAACGCTCCTTAATTAATATAAACTCGTCCACCATACCCAACAAACGAGTTGAAACACGCGATTATGCATCTTGTTACGTACGTCATAAGGGTCAGCGCTTTACTTGAGCGGGCCAAGATACGTGAGGCGATGTAGTGATGCACGTGTTAGTGTGGTAGGTGGTAATAAGGGGGGTGTTTACCTGTTCGATATGGTTACGATCGATCACACTCAATTTGCGCTGGCGCTGGCGACGGCAGATAGCCCGATTTCACGATAAGACAGTCGTCAATACTGTTATGCCTTGGTGTCTAACGTTATCTGATTTTCGCTATAAGCAATGGTCGACAAGTGATTCCCCACAATGGAGGCTGCAAAATCTTAAGATGTAGTTTTCAGATTTATACGTATAGTATTACCAAGTAGATGAATTTGTGTTCCACAAATGAAGAAGGTCGTCCGGGAAAGCACCACGGCCTTGAAGGACTTCGACGTGAATTTGAAATGTTAAAAATGAAAATTTCCTAAAGATTGACAATGGATCTGCATTCCCACTTGTGCGTTTAGATCTCACTGGACGACGCCATCTACTCAAAATCAGGTCCGACAGGCACCTTATGTGGTGAGAATTTCTTTTCACTGCCTCCATTGCTTGCAATTTGTAATTGCTACACGAATTCAGTTTTTGAAAACGGTTGAAAGCCGTGAATGTTTCTAATACTTCGAACACTGCACGGTGCTGCGAATTGCCCGTCGACGGCCAAAATATACAATACTGAGGATAAACTGACCGGACAGTGTGCGCCTGATAAAAGGGCTTTGATTGATCAAGACATCGGATGCACAACTCGGCGGCGCACCGGCGGCAGCCGATGATGGATTTACCGCTAGGGTGACCGTTCTATGCGGAGAAACCGGTGACAATAATATCGGACGAATTATGAATCCTTCCAAAGTACGCAACTATTTAAAAGCAATACAAAATCAATAGTCTAGTAGCGGGATAAGAATGTCGAATAGGTTTTATAGCAGTTATTAGTTAGGACGCATCCGCACAAATTCTGTCGAATGGTATACCGGTCCGCTGTGGGGACAATCGATCAGTCATCGTACAGCCGTCGCCAGTTGGACGCCGCTAGTGTGGTCCCGGCCTTAAGCTCACCATTGTCTCAGAATGACACATTGAGTTCACAGCACGAATTGCTTTTGAGGTATACGTGTGCCTATCATTCAACTTATCCCAATAGTATGTTCCTTACTTTTTTATTCTATCCACTGCGGTAGACTTATAACGCAACAAGTTCGTCACCTGTGATGTTTGAGGATACGTCAGCTGAGAGAAAAGTTAATAATATTGACTGCCTTCCGCTCGATAAAGCTAAAATTGTGTTTTTTCTTATTATGTAAAAAAAAAACTTTAAAAGAACAGCCCATTATAGAAGTAAGTTATAGGTGTTTAAAGACCTACAAGTTACAAGTCTTATATTTTTTGTAAATCGCTAAGACCCAAACTTCTTTGGTATTTCGTAAGTACGGATACCATGTTAAATCTGTCCTCTATTGCATTTCTCCATACAATATCTCGGTTTGTCTATTGAAAGATGGGTATTTCTGCTATGAAAAAAAAAACTGATTTTCCATTTAAATCAAGAACATTTTGTTTGAACTCTAGTAAACTAATCTAGTCTTCAAATCCTGGTTCATGTTTAAAAAAATTTCAATAAAAGCAAAATTGTCAAGCATTTGAACCTTTGCTTTATTTCTACTCAAACCGACACTTCCTCTGTCAGTTCTTACTTTCTCGGATCTTTGATTCAAATTAACAGTTCACGCAACGACGCTCTGTCTTCGGAATTGTACGTGTAACGATTACGCCGGTGCCAGCGTCCTCTGATAGTCTGAACATGTCGAAATTTACACTTTTTACGACGTGTTCACATCGGCGTACCCGACTGAGTCAAGGGCCCACATGCAAATCCCGCAACTACACGGAGCAGTGCGGAATTTGTAGTCGCCCTCAACAGCGCACTTCCGAGGAACGCTCGCTTATTAGCCGGGGTCGAATCTTTATGGTTGCGCGACATGCGATACCAATTATTCGTTCCACCGGTGCGGGGCTGGCGCGGACGGATTTGTCAATTACCCGTCGCCATATCGCATCGGGGCGGCCATCTTGCGTCGCGCGAATGTCAACCGGGGGCCGGCCAATTACGGGGCGGCGCGCGCGCAGGGCTGGCGGGAACAGCGCACCACGCGATCCCATAAAGCCTCGCGCCATTTATAGAGGGGCTGATCGAGCCACAGCCCGGCTTGCGTTCCAATTAATGCCGCGGAGCGACATTCGATACGGCCCCCGGCCCTCAATCGCGCCAATAAATCTCCGCGGCCTATTCGTATCTGTCAATATCGTAGGACTTTTATTGGCCGCGGGGTTAATGCGCGAGTAAATAAAGATTCACCAGTGGTTCTCGCATTGCGTCGGATGTTGGTTTCATATATGGGTACCTCAAGCTATAGTGCAGCCCTGAGAATGGACAGGTTTGAAAGTGAACGTATTTTAGATTGGATGTCATCGATATTTTCATTTCTAAGAATACCCGGCTATCGCGGAGAAGTTAAAACCCGTGTACTTGAGTTAACAACTTCCACGTAGTACCTTTTTAACGATGCAGCGAGTATATATGCATTTTAGTATGTGTTATTAGATGATTCGTTTCTAACGGCACTGGATTTTCTCGTGGGAGGCTTCGCCGCAGTGGGAGTGACGGCGGTTAATAACGGCGGCGGCGCCACCCGTGCTCCGATGCCCTGAGGGACGCTCACGACCTGCCATCATCGGCCGCACAGTGGGCCCACGGCACCGCGTCCATGTACAGAGCCCAATTTAATATGTGCGTCACGACCGGCGCGTATATGGCGTGCACCCCGCCTTGCCCAGGCCACTCCTCTCGCGCGGCGGAATGCTCATTGTATGTATATCAACGAGAATAAATCCGACGTCCTCGCTCGCCTCCCGTTGGCGCCCGACGACGCCCCCGGTTGATAGGCTGTACTCGTTTTACTGACACACTGTCAGGCGGTCAGTTCAATGCGAGGCGTCTTCGTGATTTCCCTTAAGGTTCGCTGTAGGTAATCTACTCCCTGGATGTCCAAAGTAATGTGATTGCAACGTATACATTCTATCGTTGAGCCTAGCCACTCCTAGTTCCTATTGGTACCGTTCCTCTGTTCGTTATGTAGGATTCGTATTGCGAAACTTTGTTCAGCTGTCATCGTTCATACGTTCACACTGTATCAAGTTTGCTAAAAACGAATCCGAATTCCACCAGATTGAAAGACGTTGCGTCGTGTGACAACCACGCTACTCATTCGCGACCACTGACGTCACGATACGTGACAATCCTCTCGGCGCTGACGTCACGACGGCTTTGGCCAGCCGCGTCATCACCGCTCCAGCTAATGGGCTACGCTTAATGATCGCCCGTATCGCTTATCCCATCACGGGCGTCCCGATACCGTCCGCCAGCGTCCGCGGGGCCGCATTAACATAAAACAAGGTCCATATTTCTGCGCGCGTCGTCGTGACGCGCCGCCGCGGTATTGTGCGCGCGATACAGATCTGGGGACGCATGCGCGCACGGCCGCCGTTTGTGATATTTAGAAGCTGTCTCTTAAATTCGCGTCCGGGCGAGTTAACGAGTCGCATTCTGCGTGCGCCCGACATGCGATCGGCTATTGTCCCCCGCTTTTATTTAGCCGAGCCCATAAGCGGACGCCCGTACCGCGCTGAATGTCGCCGTCACATAATCGAACCCCTTATACTTTCATATTAGGCCCGACTTAAGGACTTAATAGCGGCCGAGTAGAGAATCTCTGCATAACACTACCTTCACCGCCTTTGAATAGACTACGAATAATAATATAGTGTACGCTGCATAACGCACATGAAACGATCTTAAATGGCGTCTTACACCTTTATCAATATGACACGAATGAGTCTTTTAGTATTTCTGATGGAAAATGGGATATCAACTCTAATACGTATTAAACATAACACTTAACACTAACTTAAAAAATACAAATTTTATTTTATAACTCTGAATGAGCAGAGCGCTTCGTAATCGGGGTTGATGCATGAACGTCCTCTATTTGCAATGTGCTCTTGTCGCAAATATCAGGAATTGATAATCGCGAACTTTTTATTGCTTGAATACATTAAACCTACAACTAAATTTCGTCGTAGGAAACGCTCTGTGTTAAAGTTCGAAACGCTCTGTGTTAAAGTTCATTTCAAATTCTGTAATTAACACTTTAAATCTTAGCACATTTAACATGAAGATTTTTAATCTTGCAAAATCAAACATAATTACCATCTCTTCTTAGATGACGCACTTTAATGTCACTTTAGGCGTCACATGTGGAATATGAACGCTCGTAATGAAGAAATGGTTCCTCCGCTGTGCAGTCCGTTTCCTAATTCCATTATTGGACCATAACGTGGACGGGAGTCCGTAATCGCTGGCACGCATTCCATTAAGGCTTCATAAATAGTTTATTGGCGGCGATGCCGGCCGCCTCATTACGCCGCGTCCTATGTCGTTAAGCGGCGATAGAGAAGCTCACGGCACTCTGGGATCGATGCAACTCTACCCATCCCCTCTCTAACGCGTTCTTGATCGCTGCTAAGAATGCGCGTATTGTGATCCTTTAATTAATGATCAAAGTTAATGCACATGATACAACCCCTAATGTTTGGTAAAATTTGTCTCGATATTGCTCTGAAGTCGTTGTTCAGTTTCCAAACCTTTTAACCCAAAGGTGAAGTTAGTTAATAGTCCACGTTTAACAAAGTTAATTTAGCTCCATACCTCGGATGTGGTGCGGCGGCAAACACGCAACAGTCTTTTCTGGTGTCAATGGGCAGGTTCTTCCGGGTAGTACCACGACCTCACAGAAAACCGGCGTGAAGTAGAAATGTCATAATTCTGCGATTTGCCTGGTAAGTAGCCAGGGCCCCCTTTATTAAGAGGTGGTAACGCATCTGAAACCCTACGGGTGTTGCAGATGTTCATGGGCGGCGGTTATCACTTAACATCAGGTGAACCGCCAGCTCGTTTGCCACCTTCTCACTTAAATAAAAACTTCGGACACAGTACTGAGACTGAGATTTTTGCATAATAGACATTCGAAATACGAAATCTGGTACACTTCGTAAAAACGCCTTTAAAATCAATATTCTAACTCCTCAGAAGGTTATTTCTGCTTAAATAACTATAAAATTATGTGTGAATTTATGATATCGTTCGTACCATTGGCGAACTCATATCCTTATTCTGTTCGTCACACATTTGCCTAATAGCAACATTAAATTACAACTAAAAAACACATGTCAGCGAGATTGCTGTCCAATTCGTCCGTCTAGATCCGGTTACGCTGCGATTTATATAAAATCGGACGTTCGCAGCGTTTTAATTGAATATTAATCGGAGACTAATGTGCCGTATTTAATGAATTAATTAATTTAACGAAACGGTGATTTTTTTATAAATCTTTCGAGTAAACCCGTAACTATTTTAGTGCGGGATTTTCGACTATTTGAATCTATGGCATTCTTACTACGTTAGAACCCGACCGAGGTCGAATAAGAAACATGGAGGGTAGAAATATGATATAATTTTATATATGATGTGATAGTTTTTTTTTCTTTGAGTTCTTAAAAGCCAGCAATGCATCTGCACGCTGGGGTGGTAATCAACCAACCGTCTTCGAAAAAGTAGGAGGTTCTCGATTCCACTGTATTTTTTAATGTTTGTTACCTCAGAACTTTCGTCTGAGTGAACCAATTTTGATGATTCTCTTTTATTTGAAAGCTGGTGCATCCCGTGTGGAACTCCTGAAAATCAATAATAAAATGAATACAGAGCGTGATATTTTAATTCGGTTTTGTTTTTCGTTAATAATATATAGACTTGTAAATATATACCGTTTAATTTTCCAACTTCCCTCATAAAAGAAAACATTCGCAGCAGTAGTACATGGCCTGGCCGCAATACGTTCTCTACGACGTGAACTTTCGGCACCACTCCAACAAGACCTACCCGGGCTAGCGTCGGTCCTGCATGAAATAACTTCCACGCGACGCACACTTGAGAAGATGGCCGCACAGGATCCGACCAAGTCAGCGCTCTCTCAAGCCTCGGCATATGATAATGAGTGCACTATCTATTCCGAGAGCGCCAAAGGTCTAATCTCGCCGTCGTATCGCATATAGACCCTATATAAGGTGTCCGCGTATGTACGCGCGGCCGGCGTCTGTACTCGAGTGTCCTCGACAAGCGGTATGGTAATGAAACTCGATCGGAACATTCCCAAGTTAAAGATGACTCTTAATGCGCATCTAAATACTATATAAAATAGTCGATGTATTAAAGCGAGAGCGGACACACGGCCGCGAACTTCGTCGAGCTTATCTCTGCTCAGTTATTTTATCGTTGCTTTATAAAGTACTTTTGCGGTTGAAAGCTAATGAAGATTTAGAGTTGGATCTAATGACTTCTTTAAGCGGAAATAACAATGTTTACTTCTCATTAGACATAAACTTTTTTTAGTCTATCTTATTTATTAGTAAACTATTGATTGAAGACCACGCACAGGAACTTTTCTGATCTCTTTCATAATTAAGCTTTTGATAGTACTTTTTTAATTATTATGACTTAAAAACATGTAGGTTTACATTAGCCTATATTGTAAGGACGTTTTACAAACATCAATTTCACGTGGACAAACACGCAGACCCGAAACGATTATTTGTGGGTCATACAAATGATTGTCCCGTGTGGGAATCGAACCAACGACTTCCGGCGTCGAAGACAATGCCTTGGCAGTTGGCAAAGCGCAACGGAGTCATCAAACTTTGCCATAAATTGGTGTCTATCGACTTCAAGGACTGGGGTCGAAAACGTTTAGGGATTCGCAAACGAATTGCTCGGCGCTCGGACGGTCTGTAGTCTGAAACATGCAGCGCTGGCGCATCGTCTCCCGTTCCCCGTCGCGACTGCGTTATGGTAATGAGATCGAATCCGAAATTGGACAAACTCGGGCGGACATTTCGCCACCGTTCGATATTCACCTCGGCGGGGTATTTACGCTCCGACGGTTGGCGGGGTCTACGCGTAACGAGCGGTAATGCATTATCTGCCGATTGCGGGCCCCCGTTTGTCTCGTTAACTCGCCGTGCCAGTGAGGTACGCTTTCGCACGCTTCGCCAACCCATATTAATACTATCGCGATTGCTTACGTAATTAAATACTCGGATAGAGCTAGGTAGAGCAGCGGACGTACCCATAGTGAAATTTACACCCGAGCATAGAGCTAGGTAGAACCGTAGTTGGACCACGGAACAGTATTCGTCGTTTGCACGAATGGGCAGGTCCGTCCGGTTTAGTTCCACGACCTCACAGAAGACCGGCGAGAAGTAGAAGTGTTACGCTTCTGCGTTCCGTCTGCTGAGTGACGTAGCCGGGGCTCACATTATTAAAAGGTGGCAACACATCTGCAACCGGTGTTGCAAATGTCCGTGGGCGGTTATTACTTAACATCAGGTGAACCGCCAGCTCGTTTGCCACTTTCTCACATAGTAAAAGGTAGAGCAGTGGACATATAGAGAAATATACACCCGGGTGTTTACTTCGTCGATGAACTTTCCTAGTGGGATTTCATGGGGCGTTCCCAAGTAAGGAACAGTTCTATGACGTCAAGCACACGTAACACATAGAGATTTAAATGTGTGCGTATGTGATTACGTTACAATAAACAATGGAAAATTAACGTAAATCAGGTATGGATTTGCCTACATTGTAATAACTTCTAGTCTACTGAACATTTGTACATAAAAGATGGTACTAAAATAGGAAACGGGCCAATTGACTGTATGTGCTCATGATGTCCATAGTCATCAACACACAGTGCGCTTCCAATATTTAAGAGGCTGGTACCTTCACCCACCAAACAAAATATAAAAGTGTAAATGTTCTTAATTTAAGCCGATATTCCATAAGATCATCTTTTTTATGTGAAATATTGGCAAGCGAGCAGAAGTTTCACTTGTAACGCCAGACTGGTTGCAGTTGCGTTGCCAACTATTAAAAAATGCACCCCCGTTATCTTACTCATCAGGCGAAATTATAATACTACCTCTTCGGCCTTCTGCTAGGTCGAACTTCACGGACGAGTCTGCTCATACGAGGAGAAGAAGCGTAGCTTTACCACAGTTATCTACGTCTAGTAAGAAATATCAATCAACCTACTGAACCCTATTTTCTTGAATAAATGTTCCTGAAATCCTGTATTTAAATAGCTCTCCGTTCCAATTTCAACCTGTTATTAATCAAACCGCTCTCTCTAAAAAGCCAATGGCCGTCCGTTCGGGGCTACCGAGTTTATTTCCGTATTGATTTGTGACACGGTAGTTCAGAAGACGGTCGTCGATCCACGGCGTTGACAAAGCGGAGGGAGTCTTTACAATTTTAATTCGGACGAAGCGCGCCGCGTCAGCCCCGATCGCTTTTCTCAGTCGTGTTCAGTGTCAGATATCTTTGGCTGTCTTCTCATAGGCATTCGGTAGCCTATTAGGTTTTTATGGAGTTGGGGGACACTGTGCTTAGAATGATCGACCTCTAGTTCAGTTTGTGAGATCTCTTGCTCATGTGGCGGCTAGTCGACTTAGTCGGAAAACTGAGATTTTCGTAGTCGGAAAAGTGAAATTTTCATAGTCGGAATAGTGAGATTCTTATAAGTTTCAAATTCTCTTTATTTGCTGAAATATGGTACGTATAGTTCCCCAGTATAATATTTATATGCGTACATATTAGCGTCATATCCAACAATTTAGAATTACATATAATATGCAAGTCAATTAATCATCATATTTGAATTAATAGCAATATTATTTCTTAAATTAACAACAATAAAAATAGTATTAGTCGCCTTTTACGACAGGCAGGGGATACTTTAGCCCTATACCATGAGCCCGAGACTACACGCCTTGTACATATGATCCTAGGAATTCAGATATGATACAAATAACGTATAATCGTCAAATTAGCCATGAAAATTACCGTGGAGAGCCCTTGGCATTAATCTAACTATATGGCACAAAAAAATTTAACCACGTCGGGTAATGGCACGTATTTAGGTGAATAATAAATCAATATACACTATTAAATGAAGGTCGGCAGGCGGTGGCGCAAGGCAGAGGCAATCGCGATTTACGCACCGGACACATAATTGTATGTTGCCAAAGTTTTCGATACCAAACTGCAACCCATGTCGTGCGCAACTGTTGTGTAGTAATGCCGCGTTATGTTATTAGACGAACCTGATATCTTTTCATAATAGCCGACTGAAACCAATCATGTTTCACTTCCTTTAATTTGCATGTGTAACCAAAGGTGGTTTAAGATACAAGCCGATGTTTTAAACAAAGACTATGTCTACTTGGAAATATTAATTAAAATATAGCCATTTTTGTCACCACGCTGTTATTGACTAAACAACTTTTATGTTTTTTTACCACTGCAGGTCTTTTTTCGTAATTATTTTTCTATCACAATAAATAATAAATCATCACCTCAAAACAAAGCGAACTATTACAATATACAGCGTGACGTTACCATCGCGACAGTAAATAAACACACATATAGGGGATAACTTTTTAAAGTTGTATTAAACATTTAAATTCTTTAAACATCAATATTTACAGAGTTATAAAATGTTCCTAAACAGAGAGGATAAATTAACAATATAAGACAATTGTTTGTAATATAATGAATTGTCCCCGTTTTGGCCATCATTCCACATCCCAAATGTAGCATATCTCTCGTAGCACATAAATAGACAAAAATGCTCGTATACCCGCCACGCTTGCGCATGTGACTCGCACCGTGAAACACGGTGAAATCATTTTTCATAATTGCAAAGCGGCGATCAATCTTCCGCCGCCGACGGAAGCCACTCAACCTCGCCCCGATCCGTGGATTTACGTGTTATTGTTGTTTATTCTTTGACTGATAGGCCCCCGGTTTCGGCCACCTGACCTATTTGCTTTATCGCGTCGGGCGACACGCGATAGACGTGTGCATTTCAATTCTTCGGGCGGGGGAAGAAATTTCACTTCGCCGACGATCGCTATCTATGATTTATCGGCTCACTTTAGTTATAATCACGCGTTGTTTGTATAACCTTTATATGTCATGCCACGTCATGTGCATTTCGATTCGGTGTAGGGAAGGTGCATCGCGTGTCGACGTTTTGAGGTTAAAAGCAACAAGTACCCACCAAAGTCTAACGATGTGATTGTTCATTCTTGATGTATTTTTACTGGGTCCTACCACGCAACAGTCTCTACTGCACGAATGGATGGGATACACCTTCCACGGACGAGGTGCGTCCGTGGAAGGTATACCGACCTCACGAACGAAGAGCGATGTGAAGTGGCAGAAATATACTTTTGCGTTTCGTCTGGTGAGTGAGGAACAGGAGCCCATTTTGTTAAAAAGTGGCAATGCATCTGCAACCCCACGCGTGTTGCAAATGCCCATAGGCGGCGGTTATCACTCGACATTAGTTGAACCGCCAGCTCGCTTGCGGCTTTCTTACTTAAAAAAAATAATTGCATAAAAAAAAATTAACTGAATCGACCGAGAGCAGATGACGAAGCAAATTACCGATGCCTAATTAATTCGAATTGTCACCGAGTGCATTGTTCGATTCCGACGCCGAGATGCGGACGCGATATCGATGCGGCGGATCGATCTCGCCCCGGATCGCGCTAAATCACGGATCGGGTGATCTTCCGAGAAGCGAACTCCGCCCGGATTAGGAGCGCGCGAGCGTGCGGACGTCGTCCCATAAATCCCGTCGCCCGATGGCAGCTATAAATATCTCAGCGCGCCAGCCTTCGCATACCGGCCGGGGGAAATATCGCACCCGAATTCCGCCGCGGGCCAAAGGGAAAAAGGCTGCTGAAAAGGGCTCGGAGTCCCCGGGCCCCGCCCACGCCGCCGACAGGTGAATGCGCGCGCGCAGAGGCGCTCCGTCGCCAACTGGAATACATTTCGTCGCATCGACACACAATGGACGTGACTCTATCGTATACCTAATTTATCTCGTACAGAGATCTCCCAGCGAAATACCAGCCATGCGTGCTACGTGTCGCAGTTTGTTTCTGTGTTGGCTTACTTCATTTAGTTTACCTCAAATGCCAATGTATCCTCAGCATGTGTACTTTGGGGACCCTGCAAGCCACCCATATGACACCAAAACCATCCTTCGCTAGCGAAAGGTACACAACGTCAAGTTCAATACGTAAATTGAACAAACATCGCGCACATTTGAAGCAGCTGAGAGCCGCTTAGAGCTAAGTAGCAAACCCGACGATTGCTTGCGCATCAATGAAGAAATCCCGGTGTAAAACAGCTCGCATCGGCGATGCCCGGGTCGATTTTTATCGCGCCCGACGCTCCGGGTCGCGAACCCGGGGAAAAAGGAGGCCCGATAGGCGACGCGTCAAGCGGGCCGCATACATTAGCCGCGCGTGGAAACGAGCGCCCGGAGAAAGACGTACAACAATGAACAATGGGAGCATAAATCAGTATAATTAGTTTCGCCCGAACGGAGCGAAATCATTGGTCAAAACGCGACCCAGTCCCCGCCCCCGGCGGTGTACGGACGGCGTTAGAGCAGGCACTTGGCATGTTGGATTGGATCAAGCGTAACGTCAGCAGTGCGATCGCGTCATTGCCGGTCGACTTTCGTTCACACCAAGAAGCCGGATTGTTTTGTTGACGCACCTTCGATCGGACACTTCGATGCTAGATTCGGCAACCTCCTCGTACACATCGGAGGAGTCGCCGAAAATAATATCTTTTTCATATTTTTATTTCTGTCGGTATATTTATGTGACTTTATCATAGATCAACGTTTAGAAGCGCCAAAATATACCAATTCAAACCGAAAGTTATAAAACGAAGTTTCAAACTATGAACACATATCCGTTTTTCCCGACGCTGAATTAAGTACCCTTTACATTTTAATGAGCGCTTCTAAACCGGGGCTGGATCGAAAAATACGAATCGCATAAGATACGTCACCCGCCCGTAAATGTTGAACCGGAATGTTGGTCCGAATGCTGAATACGTTCTGATCAGTGTCTCGTATATTACTTGTATGGTATTCTCGGAGCGGTTTTCTGCTGTCGCTACCTGAGTGCAGTGGTCCGCGTCGCATAGTTCGCTGCGCGTCTTTACAACTGATTCTTGCATTTCACCGTATCCTGCGTCTCTGTCTCGCCTCGCACTGCATGCAATGGCCCTCGGAGGGAACACCTTGCATATACATTACGTGCAGTCGCAACAAAAACAACACACAGGCCTTGCGAAGCGTTCTATCCTCAGCAGTAGGAATCAACGCATTTTTCCTCTCTGAACAACAATCATTGTTTCACGATAATCTTTGTGTCTATCAATCGCCTTCATAGCTGTTATTAGCCTCCTTAAACTTTAGAAATCTATCTCACTTTCGCATTTGAAATGCATTGCAAATCCATATATTGTAACAAGTGTACTTACACTGTATTAACAACTTCAAATACCTGCAAATACCAACTTTGTAAAGCTTAGCGAGAATGGAAAATATTCTTTGGTTTTTTATCCGATATTCACACCAGGCTAAATTACAGATTAATTTTATGGCTAGCAACTTAACCGACGTTAAAGTAATTTATCAAACTATCACAGAGAAATATTGTGATAGGTTAGTCATTGTGTGAAAATCGTTCTTCACAGGTATTGTTGGCGTGTTAGTGACTCCTTTTTTACTATACCTCTGTGTCAATAACTATCATCAAAGTATAGTGTCCATCATAACTACGCGTATCTAATGGTATAAGAAAATACTGTTATAGGAAGTTAGAAGTTGCTGTCTAATTTATGTCCAATAATGTACTGTTATTCATTTTTCATAATATTCAAACGTATTTTGTTTAGATACGACAGTTGATGAGGTTAAACGAATATTTAATTTAGGCAATTGAAAATACCATGCTTCAGATTCATCAATAATAATTGCATTCAGTTCCAATACGTCATCTACATTGTACCCTAGAATATAATTTTTTCCCGAGAAAAAAATAGACCAGGTTATAGCCGCAACTTTGCACTTAGATCTCGTACTTATTTGAATTATATTTAAAACTAAAATCCCGTATATTCAATACATCAATTTGTATTTATATGGTCTTGAACATATTGTATACTTGCATTCAATCTTATTTTCATTGAAATCTGTAATAATCTAATGAGACAAAGGTTTAGACAGACGCGCAGAGAGCAATATATAATATTAATTATTTATGATTAGACAGCGTAATAAAATGCAGTTTTATTACAGCATTAGATAGAAAAATCTACAGTTCTGGTGCGACAGGTCATCGTCGATCTAACAAATGCTTTGATAACGAAACGTAATGTACTAATCAATAGTCGCCAATCCTATCATGACCTCAGCCACCACTTGGAGAGAAACAGAAGAACATGTTGATCCCTAGTCTACAGTAGGGTAACCATTTCGAAATTGAAAACTCCTGGAAAAACCAGGCTTTACACATTATCGGGCATTGGAGTCTAAGCTCCATAAAATTGAAGATATACATTAGATATAAATTAATTTCAGCACTCAAGTTTCTTAAGTAATCGAAAGGTCAGAATTAAGCATGCTGCTCATCGAAATGAAATGGAAGAAGCAGCCGGACGGTTCGATGGTTCAAAAGTCCGGACGCGTCCCGACAAATCTGGACGGATGGTCGCCGCGACATCAGTACAAATGGAGTGGCGTGTGCCCTTTAATGAAAACGATGTCCGGACGTCACAGTCGCGACGTGTACGGATCGCGTCGGGCGGAGATACCCCAGCCCCTGATTTTTCACAAGTTACCGGCTAATCCGGCGAGGGGTCGAACGCGGAACTATTTGTTAGGGCACTTCTCGCGTTGTTTTCGTCGACCAGTTAGGCTACTGCAATTCCTTTGGATACGAAATCGGAATATACGTTGTCTGTCTCCGTTGTGGACGGCCAGTGCTTAATTAAAACAAATCGTTGAAGGTATCCACAAACCAAACTAATTTTATTATCGTTATCGGTTTAAATTATAAATTTTTGTAGATAAATGAAGAAAAACTTTCGACCCTACGTAATTTCGAACATGCGTCTTATGGTTTAACTTTGACATCAAGACGTGAAACGACTAACGCCCGTTTTTGTTTTGAAACACTGATCTTCGAAGAAATTTGCAATTATCAGCTGTCAAATAGCTTCTCAAATATCATTTGAGTTGCCAAAAGGATGGTTAAACTCTTTCAATTGATCAGAACAGAATGGGCGCCAGTCTGTTCCTTGACTATGAAAACTGGAAAAGGTTCGAAATGTTTAAAGTTAAAGTTTCATGTATAATATGCGCGTAAAATCAAGAAATCAATGTAAGCAAATCAACGATATCATGACTATCGTTGGGCAAAATAAAGCCTTCTCGTAGCGGGAGTTCTTCCAGGCCCTTGCGCACCGCAATTTACACTGCCTACAACCGGGTGGGACAATTGAAAATTCTGCGCCGTCCTCAATACACGAGCTGGTCCAAAAACCCAGTGAGCTGCATCACCCAAGGCCACGCCTGAACCTGGCGGTCGTTTTTTGTGCGCAGTAAAACTCAGTCACGACAAAGTTGGCCGGCGACAAGGCGCCCGAGGCGGGTAGCACCGCCGCCAATCAATCATCGGCGGCTGATTGATGCGCGACGACACTCGATTCATAAAGGTATTCATTTAACTCCGTTCGCCGACATTGATTGATATTCGCGATATCGACGCGATACCCCCCTAATTATCGGACCCCGCCGGCGCGTCACGTCGGGCTACGAACACGTTCAGCTCATATGCGTGTTACTATCGGTTTTTTGTCGGACGACGAATACTCGTTGTTTCCTTCTGATAGTTCCAATCGTGTACATAGTAAGAAAGGGTTAAAAAATCCTAGTCTTATTATAAATGTTAAAGTACACTACTAACAATTAGGTTATCTTTTGTCTAATGCACGTGCCATCCAATGAGTGACTACAAAAATAGTACATTCTTTGTCTACTTTTTTTAAATCAATTATAAGTACTCTTTAGTCCTATAATAAATTGCTAAGTACAGAAAACAAATCAATACTCTTGCTGCCGATGCTTGCAGTTGATCAGCCGTTTAAACCGAGCGATATAATTTCGTCCATTCCACTCAACTTCATCATCATCATCATTTATGCCTGTTATAGTCCACTGCTGAACATATGCCTCACCCACAGACTGCCACGAAACACGGTTCTGATCTACAGCTAAAGCGTTTTAAAACAGTCTGCAAAAGTCGATAGTCTTTGCAACTCTAGTGAAAAAAATCGCTATGTACAAATTTCTAGAACTATAAGCCAGTTAGTTTGCAGTAGTTCGAGGGTCTGGGGAGACGCACATAGAATTGTAAATAAAACAGAAACCGCCAAAGGTTATTAGCGCTGCTCATACAACTTTAATCTTTACACCGAACTAGATTAAAATCAGATTTGCATAAGCGAAATTTACGAACGTATTCAGCGTGTTCACCACCGTGGGTCCGACTAATTGTTTCGTGGCACGTCTTTATCGGGCCGACGCGGGCGGCGGATGCACGCCGATTTAGCCCTAAGGCGGACCGCATACGGGCTGCATTGGAGTGCGCGGAACTCCAAGATACAGCGCCCGTTTGGCACTTCATAGCGAATTCAGCTGACCGTGTCGCGGTAATTAAATCATCTGTTGAGAGATATAAGATTATCAACGTGGCGTCGGCCCCGGGTGCGTTTTTGTATGCATTCCGCGTGCGGATGGGCGCGACTGTACCGCAAAAACCCGCTCGATTACTTGCGATCGGGTGGGGTAGGGGATAAGGCTTCCCTCGCTAATTAGTGGTCAGTAACTTCTGTTGGCGTTACGTGCTGCCTTTTTTTTAAAAACTTGCATTCGAATGTACTTAAAGGCCCATTCTTATTCAGTATTTTTATGTGAAAAGTTGGCTAACAAACGGGCGTTCATATTATGTTAAATGATTACCGCCGCCCATGGATATCTACAAGTAACGTATCTACATGTTGTCAATCTTATAAAAAAGTACGCATCGGTTACTTCAACACCAAAATGAAAGTGAAACTACAATACGTCCACTTCACAAAGTTCTTCTGCGAGGCCTGGCAGTTCCTAGGACGAGTTTGCCCATTCTTTGATGCATGCATAAAAGAATGGGCAAAATATAGTTAAATAAAAAAATAAATATAGTAAAAAAAAAGTAAAAAAAAATAGTATACAAGAGAATCTAGATGTTAGTGCTCATGCATTGTTCCTAATTCAGATTACTTTTTGTTTTCTTCCTTCTGGAAAATTTACTACTTGCAAGTTTTGCTTTACAAATAAACATAATTTAAAAGAAAAAAAAATACTTTTGAACGCCGCACTTAATGAATGTATTGTATAGAAAGTGAGACTTTATATTTAAGTATATCTGTACACTATTCAAAGTGTAGTAGCTTTTAAGTTAAATGGAATTTTGATTAAATTTGTGCGACTTGAAATGACTTTAAAACTTCAAATAAGAACACAGTCTTTAGTAGGAGCTATTGTAGGACAATATTACTGAAAGCTCTTTACGTTTTTACCTTTCCCGAAATGTTTCCGACACTCAACATTTGATTGACGTCCCACCCGGGTTACGAGACCCCGTCTGAGCACTACAATCGGGCCGCTGAATTTGCTAACCGTAGTTCCGCTAACGGCTCGCGCTTAGCCCGACAGCCGTCGCCGCTGACAGCTACAAATGGATACTTGTTGCTTCGCCCCGCGTCGGAGGCCACTCGCACAATGTTGGCCGCCCCCGTGGCAAAAAAATCCGAAACACTCCCGCCAAATTGCGTTTCACCCCGACCGTGACGTCGACGATCTCTTTCAGACGTACCACGATCGTTTTGAATGACTAAATACCCTCTTCAATTTACGGCATTGGTTATGGCTTGACGAATGCGAACTAATAAACCATTAACCTCTGAACAATAATGTGCATGCGTATCTATAAATCTTACTGGGAAATTTGTTGCATATTTAAGGTAGTCAAAATATTGAAATAATTAAATCTTGCCAGTTTAATTAATTACTCATGATATAAACGAATCGTATAAATATATCCTAAATCTTTTTTTTCATTCTGGAGATTTGCTTATTTCATTTTAAACATTTACTGCGCATTTTTGTCAACAGCTATAATCATAATAAACAACTTTGTATTTTTTTCTAATTAACTGATCCAAAGAAATCATCCATGTCTGAGACGTCTTTCCTAGGAATGGCATAATTTACGTACCAGTCGTACATTATCTTTACATTCAAAACAGAACGAGCTTAAATTGAATGATTGTATGAAACCACTATCGACACAGACTTAATAGCCAGTGAAGTCAAAGCTGCACTCGTGGCATCACGCCGCACGTCCATCCCGTGTCCCGCCCGCTACTTGTTGCGTCACGTCAGCGTGACAAGTCCTCCGCGGAGCGTGCCGTCCTTGCCGCTCGCTCAATGGCGCCGCGTCGCTTGCGGACGCCGTGTTAGATGTCACGCGGCGTGCTAATGCGCCCGCACTAATTCACTCGCGGCGGCATTTGCGGCCGTTTGTCCGCCAGCTCGTCGTTTTGTCGGGCTTCGCGCGGAGTGTTAATGCTGTTAGCGTGTCTCTGTCCCGTCGCGTATTGATGTATGCACAAATGATGTCTTTGGAATTTGCGAAAAGGATTTAATGTGTGCGAGATACATTCGAGAGATATTTCCAATACCTAGGTCTAAAGGTCAACGTGATTAATTTGCTTTGTTAAGCCACGGGGATAAATTGATGAATTAGGGTGGATTACTCGATTAGTCAGTCGCGGGGCTCACCAGTTGGAGTAAACTAAGGGGCCCTCCTCCCTGGCACGGAAGTAACAGTAACAGTAGGAACACGGAGTGGTTCTGTAATGCCGTTGCTCAAGGCCGGGGCTGAGATGGACGTCAACTCTCCCTACCTAAATGAGTTCAGTTGCAATACAAAGGGCGCGGGTGAGTTCCACTGAAGATCTTGTTTGGTGGTTTAGTGGATACAAGTAGAATAGCAAGTACCGACATTGCTGTGGAAGTTGAAAATCAAAGTCAATAGGATCTGATTAATTAATTTGTCAAATGCCAATTTCATGTGTAAAGCTAAACTAATTTATATTCGTTGATGCCAACAGTATAAAATATAGTAAAGTATCAGCCTATACAGGGGTATCAGGGCAGGGTCCACCACGCGGCCCCACTGCGGATCGGCGGACTTCACATATCTTCGAAATAATTTTTTTTTGTTATTATTTCAGCACTTAAAATTGACAATTTAATTGGTGCTGGCACCGGGGATCGAGCTCAGGTTGCTCGAGTATATTGAATTAAAGGCGAGCGCCCGGACACTGAGCTGTGATGATTCTATATATATCTATATATAGATATAAAATATACCTCACTCTTAAGAGTAACAGATGAATGATTAAAGAATCATTACCCCCCAAAACAATTTAATAAGTAAGGATAACGTGGATGTTAATCTTTACAGAGTGAGTAGGAGTTATAGATTATTTCATAATTGTTGTTTGTAAACGTTGTAAACTTTGCTTTGATAATAATATTATGCGGACGCTTTCGAGAGGTTTTTGTTTACCCTTGTGCAAGAGACGCGTCGCCCAAATTAATGACCGCGATTAAGCAAGCTGATTTAATTAATCTAGACTTTTCTAACCACTTTTCGGCTATCAGTTTTAATGTCTGTTTTCGGAATGATGGCACCCTCAAATTAAGAATACAATGTATTCCGAAACGGTTTTCGATGGCTATAAATTTACAAATGAAATAATTTGCGCCTTGAGATCATCGGCCGCTCAGCTTAGTTGGTGAATCGTCTGGGCGCGAAACCAGAAGACCCAGGTTCGAATTTATCCACAAAAATTTATAATTCAGAATGAAAGAATTTGTTTTTTATAACGGTAGATACAGTAGTTTGGATGTTTGCTTTGGCCTTGTGGATCTCTCAATTGTAGTCCTGGCCATTAGTAGGTGTTCGTTCTTTTCCAAAGTGTCATTGTAAAATACACCCTCTGAAATTTTGGAAGAAACTACTACATAGTAAAAAAATTAACCATTTCCAATATTTAAAACCGTAGTATTACAATCTAATGCTTTTCGACCAGTACTGTAACTTAACTCACTTTAAGATGAAAAGACACATTGCACTCGTGGATATTTCCACGAGATTTTGAAGACGATTTTCAATACATATGATATAAGTCACTTTGTCGTCTCGAAAATATTTTTGTTTACGTGACATTGTTACTGCATGAATTCCCGATTCATTCAGGAAACTGGAACGGTTTCTGGAAGACATGCTTTAAGTAAACTTTTGTTACTGACCGACCAAAGACTAAAAGCAACGCACCTATAATTTTTCATAACGCGATGTCAATGCCTGACGGTAACCAGTACTTCTTTTACTGAACACACGATCATGCAAAAAACTAAACAAAAACTATCGTCGCGTCCATCCCAATGAGCTAACAGTGCCCGTACCTCGCGCCGTCTGTGTTATTGATAGGGACGGTGGCCGGTGTTGAACAGCCTTAAGCCCGTGTCGGGTTACCAGAGGCGCTAAATCGCGTCACCAATAACTTAACACCGCTATCTCGGCTCCTAGCGGCTATCGGGGACACGGGCGCCGCGCAGAACACCGTATCTGACATTTTACGAGGCTCCTCCTCCCCTCCCCCGCCCACTCAGTCAATTACAGCGTCGATACCGGCACCCCGGTTTCGATTCCGATTAAAAAGCTAGATCTAAGTGCCCAGACCGCCTTTACGGGACCGAAGATAGCTTTGAACGGGGGGCACTTTATTCGTTCCCGATCAGTACCACCTGAGATCGGCCGCTGCGTTGCCGCGCTTACTGCACGCCACGCATTTCGGTGGAAGCCTACTCTTTCTGTTCTTATTATCACGTGCTCAGCGGTGAAGGAAAGCACCGTGGGGAAGGAAACCTGCATATTTTCGAAATAATAATGAAATAACAATATTACGAAGACATTAAGTTCGCCAATCCGCAGTGTGGCCGCGTGGTGGACTTTTACCTGATACTCTCTGTACCAAGGAAGCCTTTGTCCAGCCGTGGGACATGTATAGGCAGATACTACTCTTTCTTACGCCACAAAAGCCTCAAGTTTTCAATCGTATGCGTTCATTACGACGTTCTCACTTTAAACTTAGTTTATCCCACCGTCCCACCATCGTCTACCGACTTCTCTAGAATGCTTTTAATTAGGTTACCGATCGGAATAAGCCAAGTTTCGACGCATTCACATCTTTGCGACCAATCGCGTCGGATGTTTCATATCCGTTTCGCTCGCTCCGCGTTTATCGGCGCTAATTAAAAAAGGCAAATGGAAACGGTGCCGATAAATTCATCCGCGCAATCCGTCACGCGTTATTTACGAGGGTGGCCAAGGATCGAGAGCCGGGTCACCTTTACTGCGCCTCGACCGGTCGCCATTGGACCAGATAAGGAGTCCGCGAAGGACAAATTCGACAAACATCAGCTCCTCCAATTAGGCGATGGTCAGATTTATGGGTCGTCGGCACGGCGCGTGTTCCGGCCGGATTTTTGCGACCGGCAGAGGTGTTGAAACGAGCGCACGCCTCGATCGTCTCTCATTGACTTCTTGAGGGTGGATAAGAGTTCTGAGCGTGTCCCTTAACGTCCCCGATGACTATTCGTGTGTCTTGTTGTATTGTGTGCCTTTTCTTTAGCACAAAATCTGAATGAGACGGGGTAATGGTCGTTACTCATTTCGTTGTTTTGCTAAATTCCTTTAATCGATTTTTGGTACAGTGATAATATGTAGACGGCCATTGATATAGATAGCTTAGACTATGTATTTGGTTCAGTTAATATTTGAATCAAGCTGAATATAACAAAAAATAAATTAATGCGATAAAATTATAAAAAAAGTTAAGTTTTATTTTATCGACTGGATCCGCGTAAATAACCTTAAAATTTTTTTGATTCTTTCACTAAAATAGGTAATTATTTCGATAAATTAATAGGTTTAATGTTATTATTATTTTTATTTATTCTAAATAAGTATAGGATAAGCATTAAAGTTTTCCAAAGTTGTGCAAATCACTTTGTAACACAAGTGAGCCTATTATGGTTATGCTAATTATGAATGCCGTTTTGTTTAAATATACTTATCCCAGTTTTACGAGGCAAAGAACGTCTTTAATAAAATTTGAATTAAAACAGCTTATAAACTAAATTAACACAACTTATGTTTATAGTACTAGCAATAAATAAATCTATCATTTGGTCCAACAAAGACATATCAGTCTATTTCACACTTTCAGTATAAGGCACATTACAACTGACGAGTAAAGAATATTTCATACAAATTAAAACAATTACATTAATATAGCGGTTGCAGACGCACTTAATAATTTGTTCTTCATACGTGAGTAGCCCATAACCGGCGTTTTAAAATTGCAAAGACACATCGCAATGTATTCGAAACCGTGAACAAAGGGCGCTTTGTGCCGTCCGATGCAGAGGCGCGACGATAACGAGACGACACCGACGAAGCGACGCGGAAATTATCGAGTCGTATCCATTCGTCTGATTGAAAGCTCTCTTTAGACGGAATAACGTCTCAGTTCTTTTGAGACCTCAACTGTCTTGATAATTTAAAGGCTATAAACTATGGCGAATGCTAAATTAAAATGTTAAACTTCGAATCGGTATTTCTAAGACTATGGAGCAGAAAGAAAAATATAGAATCTGACCACGACACCATTTACTGGATTTCAAAAGGATTTCTGAACACTACCGTAAGGTTTTTGCAGAACTTTGTTAAGGTCACCTTTTGCATGAAATAAATATAGAATGGAGTTTATAATTTCAACAATACGTATAAATTTAACTGACATATTTATAATTTGAACCTGTTTCAGCGAGCTTAATTATTTATAAATTTGTTGCATTCATTAGTTTTGTTTATACCGCTAACCCAATTGTTATACAGCTAAAATATATACCTAACAAATTATGAATACTCGTGGGTTTGTAATAAGGAAAAGTGAAACGAAATTAAATTCCGATTACAAAGGCAAACAGAGCGTTGATAAAACGTAATAACTGGCTGGGTAATGTCAACGAGGACTTTTGAGGCGTTGCAAAATACGCGCGCGCGTTATCGCACGTCAGATATCGTCCAGGATTACCGTTGCCATCTGCCGTTTGATTGATCATTAGATATCGGCCTTTGAACGATTACAGGACTCGACGATAACTCCGATCACAAAGCTCGACTTCGAGCGCACTACACGAACATCCGACGTTCGCGGCCGCGGCGCAAATTAATATAAATCCTATAATCAGCAAGATAAGGCGCAAACTCGGCGGCTAGCCGCGTCCATTATCGTCGGACCTATTTACGTTGTCCCGATACAATCGAGATTTATAACTTTTATTACGGCCCGATGCGTTTCGTTAACGTTGTCATCCGTATCGCCAATCGATACATTATCGACGCTAATCGGGAACTGTGTCGATTTCACGGCGGGCCGCGGTGAAATTAATCCATTGTTTCCGATATTCGGAAAGCGTCGAGTCAGCGTATCCGTGCACGAGCGAGTCCATTGCCGGTGTCTCATCTGATGGCCCGTCCGTCAAGGATCCTCGCGTCTATTTCCGTCGATGAAACGCGGGCGGAATCGGCGCGTAGAACTTGTCAAGTAGACGCTTCTGTGAAACTTGAACAGGTCGATGCAACAAGTCAAATGGACGTGTCCATTAAGCACCGTGAACATCACCGATGAAGTCTAGTGGGACGTCAAGTCGTCAATCGAACGGTACTGTTAATATGCGAGCGACATGGCTGGCGAATGCGAGTAAAAACTCGTGGAATGAAAGCAACGATCCGGATGAATGGCACGTTGGTACAACCAATGGTCAATCTAGATCAGCTTTGCCGACCGGCTACGCAGTCAACGAGGGCGCGGACGAATCCTTAGCTATATCGCCAAACATTCGAACCCCTTTGTTGACCAGACATTCGCCCGGAGCGCTGCGTCCACTCCTTTGATCGGTCAAACGGTTGGCAGAGGCCCGAGGGTGTCTGTTCGGCGCATCTGGATTGACGCGGTGCGTTTTAATCAATTAGCGAGGGGGAACGCGGTTCGCGGGCCATTGGGCAGCGAAACGGGCGGGCCACCGCCGCGCCGGCCCGTCCGCTCTCCGATTTCGGCGGCGGTTTTTTTGCCCGCTCTTCGGATGTCTTCATAATCGGAGCGAAAGTTGGCCCGTTCGCCTTTTTGGGCGCGGATCACCGACGTGGACGCCTCGCGCTCCGGGGATTAGGTTAAACCCGATACGCGACGAGGGGTTGACGGTTAACTGGAAACTCTCGTAACTCAAGCGGAGTTTCGGACGCTATTAGTGAATCGGTGCATCGGCCGTCGAAGATTTCGGATCTCGCGAGCACGTCAGGTTAATTCATCGGAGGGACAAGCTGGGGTTATCCGTTTTTTGCTCGGTCGTTCAGCGTCGGTCCGCGTGGCGTTAGTAAGTGTTTTATGACGAGTGCTTCACTTGTTTTGCAACGTTCTTCAAATCGAGTTCGGGGGGGAAATTCCGCCGCGAACGATTACAATACGCTGTTTATCGTCGATGCGCATTAGTTTCGAAACGCCCGCGATGTGCCGCCCGCACTATCTGCCCGCGGCGCGGGATTATGTCAGCTGATAACCAACTTTGAATAATTGATTCACGGCACCGATAGCCCACCGAATCAATCAATCACCGGTCGCGCGCTGTTTGCGCAACGGGCCCGCCGCGATGGCACCGTTTTGGGGTAATTTTCCGTATTTTTTTTTGGATATCGCAACAATATCGCTTATTGTTTTATTGGTATCAAACGCTCGCTATAAAGCGAAAGGCCATCGGCCCTTAATAACTCAACCCAAATAGCGAAACGAATGACGTTTCTTTTATCCGCTTGAATGAGCGCTATTGTTGGTTGATTGGCCGATTTCAACGTCTGTGAAACTATTTCCGTTATTGTATTATTAGCGACACTGGTTGCCGATTCACGATTTAAAATAACGGTGTTGCGTTGACCTAATATATTTCTATTTAGCAAATAAATTTAAGATTACATTTATAATCACTATTTATTGCTTTTTTATTAATAAGTAACTATTGTGTGACTACTTTCCCTCCTGGTGGTGCTGGTGAGGCAGATATTGTTAGAAAACTACTTCAGTAAGTCTTCTGCTTTGAACTTCTGCTTTGAAGTCATCTATTGTGATCACGAGGTTTCACTCCTTTGTTGTGTTCATAAGGAACGAAAACGTAATTATCTTAATTTGATTTCGTAGAATTCTTTTAGCTGGCGGTTCACCAGATTTTGAATGATATCGCCGAGCACGAACAATTTGCAACACCCGTAGGGCTGCTGATGCGTTGATACCTTCTAATAAAGTAGGCCCCGGCTACCCCATTGACCAGAAGGGCAACATTTCTACTTCACGCCGGACTTCTGTGAGGTCGTTGTATTTATCCGGACGGACCTGCCCATTCGTGCAACAACGAGTAGTCGTTCCATGATGGAAAACGGGTAGGAAGAAATAAGTTATGCAATAGCAAATTAAAACGTTCCCTATGAGGTCCCGGTCAATGAGGTCCCCGTATCCATGAGTAGATTGCCTTAGGCTAATGATGACGATGATAAATTACACATTCTCACGTTGTTAATGCATTATATCCTTTAAACGAGAAGTAAGTGATAACATCCATCCCTTTGTTTTTCTGAAGCTAACTCCTCTCTTCTCCTTGTCCACAGAAGAGGCCACGAGCCCAGATAGCGGCGTGAAGGAGCGAAGCGAGCGCGGGGAGAGGCAAGAGACGGGAGAGACGTCCCGGTCCGCCTCCCCCGCGTCCCGCGCCTCCCCCGCGCCCGACGAGAGGGATGACATCGAGCACAGCATCCCAGCGACCCTGATACAGGATCCCAATGTCGAAAGGTTTGATCCTTTGACCATTGAACTTTCATCAGACAATCAACACAAGAATAGGATTCTGTTGATACTTCTGTAGACTCATGTCGTATGTATTCCCTGTAACACGAGCTCACAAGCTGGCTAAACCGAGAAAGAACTGTGTACTGTGTTTTTTGGCTGGCGTAAAGTTGAAGTTTTACACTTTTGCGTTTTGTCCAGTAAGTTGTGGTAATTCAAACTGTTAACGTGTGCAGGAGTCTAATCAAATCAAATCCGCTTTGTTCACTGAAAAATGGTCGTTGCAGGTCTCCAACTATTTTTTTTGCTTTATTCGACGAAGGTTCGTGTATTGCACAATTTGTCGGTCTTCATTCGTGTCTCTATTATTTTATTTCGACAGTGGGCTTAATCGAAGTCGGGAGGCGAACTCGAGTGAGAACGCCGACATGAACTTTTTCAACTTTAGCGTTCAATTATCGCATTCGCATAGGAACGGCTGCGCCATCTCGCTTCCAGCGCTCATTTTTTCGGAACAGCCTAAATTGTTCCAATCTTCGACGGCAGATATCTTTTGGAAGGCGTCCAAGTCGCGCCGTTAGCTCTCGAGCTGTTGGATCCGAGTCATATTTCGGGCCGAGCACCGGGCTGGTGGAGTTTACGGCCCCCGACGTGTCGGTTACTGCAAACGAGCGAGTGCACGTTACTGGCGAGAGGAGCAGTTTAGAGGCTGCCTAATGGAGTCTAAGACGCGCCGCGCTCTTGACTGTAGGCGACTTCGTGACATCAGCGACAGGCGACTGTGTAAGTTCGACGGTGGTCCAAACATCATCTGCGTTGGCCTTAACGATCCCATTGTTTTCGATGATCACTTGTCAACGGCTGTCCGCGCCACCGCTCCCGCTGCGGCCAGTAGCCTCTCACCCGCGGCCGGCGTTCTATCGCAACGCTCTAAGAACTACTTTCGCTCGCACGCCAGCGCTTGAAAGACCGGACGCTGAAGAAATACGATTGAACACGACCGTGGCAGCAATAGAATGTTGCGCCGGTAAAAATGATCGGAAATTTCTCGTGTGACACTCAATCAATTCTAGTTTAATAACTGCGATCGGGCGTTTTTCGCTCGAATCCATGGAAACAATGCAATGGTGACGATTGATTGATACTGGTGATAAAACGAAAGATAACGCACCGACAAAGCGTAAATCACGTTACTATTGGCGAATGGTTATCTGAAACGGTAAATAGCAATTGTTATTATTCAAGGAAATGGCATAGGTACCTTTTGTGTTTTCAATATTCATTCTCTGTCTCTCTGTAAAAAAATATACAGCAAAACTGTAATAATATATTTTTCTGCTTAGTCTACAGGTCATTGTATCTAATAATCGCAAAGATTCTTCCTAGACTCTGTGCAGATCTAGTAAACTCGCGAGCTGCTAGGCTTAGAATTTCACAATTGCTTTAAAACAACCTCTAATCAATCGAAAAAAACTTTGACTATAAACAGGGTTAACTTGCAAATTATGCATATAAAATTTTAATACGAAGTTTTAAACATGCAACATTCGTTATCGAAAACAATGCAGTGAGGGGCCGCGGATGTGTGGTTCACATCCGCGGCCCCTGACGAACAAACATTGCCCAACAATGCGTCGTGTACAGTGCACACCTATTTGCCGCTGCTCACCACTTGAGCTCACATCAGTTTCGTGCTGTCGGTAGCGGGTTAATTTATATCGTTTTCGACGCTGGCGTAGTTACATCGCGCCATTGTCGTCCACATTGTTGGAACAGTTGCGCCGGCACGACGACATGGCAACGGCCGTTTGAGGAACGTTGCCGGACGGGAAAGTAAAACACACAGCCTCGTCTGTGTTTAATTATGATAATGACCGCTCGTAAATTTTGAGGTAAAGAGATCGTCGATCGATCGAAATATATCGTAGATACGACTGCTTTCGTCGAAGCCGGCCACAGTTGGGTCGCCGGACGGAACCCCTTATTCCTGACCTCTTAATTACGTACGTGAACGTGGAAACGCATCGTGACGTTAAAAACTCGACGCATTATCGACATCCGGTGGGCCGCACGATCGGCAGTGTGCGTTCAGACTGACGGTTACCCCGCCAGGTGCGAGGAAATCTCGTCCCTGCTCCGTTGGAATTGGGTCCGAATGCCCCGCGACGTCAGTTTCACTGGCCGCAAACGTAAGCCTGCCGCGGCTGGACGCTCCGTGTTCCATCACTGTCAATTAGTCGCAGTGAAGAGACGTCATCAATCATAAACATTCTCCACAGAGCCCCGGAGCATCCATCGCGAGGGTCTATTGTTTAGATTTCAGATTTACCGAAATTTCACCTCGATCCCTGTAGACGTCTACGCACTGAGCGACCGTTGCCAAAACTTTGGTTTCAATCTTGTTAGTCAATCTCAACATATACTACGTAATACAAACATTTTGTTGTATTCCGTAGAATAAGTAGGTACAACTACAAAAGCTGAATGGTTGCTAGTCTATGGTCGAAGGTTAGTTTTATCAAAAGGAATTTATTATGAAATTACGTGGTGACGTTACGGAGAAAACGGCCAAACTAACTTTTGCGTTCAGTGTTCGAGTGTTTTTTCTCCCTTAGGAACCTCATTACGAAACGGTGTTAAATTAAAAATAATACTATCGATAGATAAAATGTATGTTATTATTTCGATATTAAATGAGATCTTATCTTTAATGAAGTAATTACAAATCTTGCCTTAACTGAATATACAGAGGTGGCTGCTGCCGACATTTCGTGGAGTTCGCTTAGCCCTAAAGGTGGTAACTTTTTTAATGTGACAGAGTGGCAACAGATCAGCTGGTTCACCTGTTAAGTGATTACCGCCGAACATCTACGATACTTGACTCGAAGCTGTATTTCAAACCGTTAAAACAATAGGCCCCGGCTACGTAAATTACCAGAGGAAACAATGTCAAAGTCAAAGTCAAATATCTTTATTCAATATAGAAGCATTCACTTACTTATTGATAGTCAAAAATCTCTACCACCGGTTCGGAAGGAAAGCCTGAGAAAGGAAACTGACCTGAGAAGAACCGGCGTAAGAAACTCAGCGGGACATTTTTTTTTTACTTGCCAAAAAAATTACAAATATGTGTACAATTATTAAATTCGATTTGAAAGAGCCTGGAGCGATCAATTCATTTCCAGAGTGTGTTATCATTCAAATAATCACTAATACTATAATAGCCATTAACACACAAACGTTCCTTTACAAAGTTTTTTGAATTTAGCAACGGATTCATTTTGAACGTTTTCTGGGATTTTGTTGTAAAATCGTATACATTGTCCCATAAAAGATTTAAGGCAACAGTATAATACGTCCACTTCACGCCGGTCTTCGGAGAGGTCTTGATGCTTATGTTGGTGGTCTGCCAATTCGTGCAACAGGGAAACAATGGGCCTAATCACTGTGATTTTGCTTTGCTAGGGTCACACAACAGTGTTCACTGTTGCACGAATGGCCAGGTCCGTCCGGGTGAGTACAACGACCTCACAGGAGACCGGCGAAAAGCAGGAGTGTTAAACTTCTGCGTCGTCCGGTGAGTGAGGTAGCCGGGGCCCACTTTATTTAAAGGTGGCAACGCATATGTAACCCTACGGGTGTTGCAAAAGTCTATCACTCGACACCAGGTCAACCGCTACCTCGTTTGCCACCTTATCACATTAAAAAAAAGATAACTGCCGAGTGTAGTCAGTGACTACTAGTCACAGACACAGTTACAAAAATATATGTGTTACAACTAAGTGATTCGAAGAGTAAACACTCATTGGTTTAGCCAAAGGTCTGAACACGCTGATAATCGACGCGTTTAAATAGTTTTTATATAAAAATCCAGAAGAAATCCCTTTTCCAATACGTTTCAATTTTTGATAACTTCGCTTGATTACTTTGCAATTGTTCTTTGTTTATATATCCATGTTAGGAAGTAATTTCTTTATGTTCTTCTATTTATTTGTCGTATCCAGAAAAACGGGTTTTGATTTGCTTAACATTTTCTTTTAACGATTGCGTGATAGAAAATTGAGAAAGGCGATTAAAAAGCAAACTGTATATATGTACATATCTAGATTACCCCGCTTTCTTATATGAGCTAAACCATAATCTTTTGCTAGTCTTTATTAGATTTAAAAAAAACTGTTACGGATTTAACAAACAATTTTGTCATAAAACTGACTTGCATTTGACGTCCTGGTTGGTGTCTGTTAGTTTTGACTCGAGGTAACTTCAGGTTGAAAATTTTATCCTAAAGTAAGGGCAATGTTTTTTAAAAAATGAAAGCCAAAAAGAAAATCATTAAAATTGCGACCCAAAATTTTTTTTAAATATGGGCGTTTATTTAAGTTTATTTTGTCAACAGAGATCTTTTCAAAGAGCTACCTCATATACTCACTGTTGCTTCTCAATACATTTATTGTAATATTTTGTATATACGTCATAAGCTTAATTATTACCTAAAGAATAGTGACAGACATAAAATAAACACTAGAAATAAGGACAAACTTACTACGCCATTGTTTCGTCTACAAAAAGTAAATAGGTCGTTCATGGGGCAAAGTGTGCGCATGTATAATAAAATCCCACAGTCGATATTAAGTCTGCCGCTTGACCAATTTAAATATAAAATTAAAAATCAACTAATGATTAAAGCTAATTATTATACCATTTCGGAATATCTCGACGACGCCAATGTGTGGATTTAATACTGTTGATACTCACGTAGGCTAGAATAAGACTGTTATACCTGTATATTATATTGTACCCTGATATTTTTGAAAAAGAGCAACTGTTGAGTTTCTTGCCGGTCTCTTTTCAACAGAAACCGCTTTCCGAACCGGTGGTACCTTACGAACCTATACACATAATCTTTGATGTAAAATTTGACGATTCATAAGAGCGCGCAAGCGTCTATTTGAATAAATATATTTTTGATTTTTTGATTTTGAACAGCCTGCCCCACTTTCAATGAACTAGACTTGACCAGAGAAGAACCGGCAAGAAACTGTGCGGTCTCGTCACCTCTTTGTTTTTAATGATTCAAGTATACATTAATATTATTTAAGTATAAAATCAGCAGCAGCTAGGGCACTTTCAAATGCAGAACAAAAGTAATTTCTATTATATTGGATATAATATAAATACGACTTAAAAGCTTATCTCGATTTTTGTCATAGATAAATGGTATCCGAAATGGATCGGGAGGATCGTACTTCGTGGCAGTCTATGGGAGATGTTAGCAGTGGACTCAGACAGGCTGAAATGATGATGATGGTGTTTTAAAAAATAATATGTAATTTATATCTCAGTTCGATTCGCGAGTTGTTGAGGCTAGAGACCATCACATATCGTCAGCTTGGTAGCATTTGCTACGTCTGTTTACCCCCTTCAAGTGTTCACTTTTAATTTTATTAATAATTTAATTGCGTAAATAAAATATCAGTATGGAGTACGTTCCAAACTGATATTTGGTGTGATATTTTGCTTTACAGATAGCGAAGTTTCCGAAAAAAACCTCTCGTGTCTCCAAAGCGCATCATCCAAAGCCAAACGGCTACCGCTCCGTCCCGTTTTAATCAATTTGAATATCGAAACGAGGTGGTCGATGAAAAAACACATTGTTTATCACAAATAAAGTGTTTTCGAAGTGTTATTTATGGCCCTAGATTCGTTCCGGCGAAGCGTGAGCCGGGCGGAATGAGGTCGATGTGCAGACGACGCTAATACATATTCAGAATGTGTTGGTTCTATTGGCCATCAATCTAATTTATCGCTAACGACCTCGCAGTGGTCTCAGCTACTTTGTTCGACTTAAAGCTGATCATGTAACGTGGGTAGAGGGTTGAAGGTCGTCCGTCCGACCCATCTATGACTCCTGACTCGTCACTTGGTAGCATAGTTACATATGCTTTCGCATCTTTTCTGCTGAGTGAGGCAAAAAGGCCCAAACTTTTATGTATTAGCGACGCCGCCGGTGTTGCAAATGTCCATTGACGTGGGCAATCAATTAAAGTCAGATGAGCTGTCTGCTTGCTATCTCCCCACATAAAAAAATAACGCACTCCGTTAATAAATTCGTTGTTTAACAATAAATGATTCACCGCCGCAAATCAATGAGCGTACTGGCATACGACACCGATAAAGAAACTTTTTTTTACATATAGATAGTCTGTCTTTGTACGCGGTCGTGTCCAAAATGATGCTCGAATTATTGGCGCGGGCACTTTTATGGCTTCGAGGGCATGTGGGCCGCTTTTAAAATTCACTCGGCAACTGCGAAATTATTCAAACAGTGTCAGGTGCTCCCCTTACGTGTAAAACTAAATCTTTGACGGCCGCGTGTCACAGACTGAAAATATCGCCCAATAAGCTTCAACTGACGCCCGCGACGAGTGACACATTGGCGTTTGATTTTTCCCTCCTGTGACATGCGGCGTCCGCGCGTCATTTTGTAGTGCGTGAGCGTTGCGAGCGAAAGAGAGAACAATAGCTGTCACATAAATGTGTGTGATTGATTGGCCGGCACCCAACTAATGCTCGTAGGAAGCAATAAACATCTGGCGATTCTGTTGGAGACCTAGTGGAGTGCGCTCTAAAATATGAGGTTTCGCCTAATGTATCCTGTCAGATCGACGGTGCACAACACTATTTTCGTATTTTTGGTTCACGGTCGTTTTGTAATTGTTTCGTAAGAAGGCGACGATTAGAAAAATAAATTTCCAATTCTAACTAGTTTATTGGCGTTTGATCATAATACCGCCTAATGGATTTGTATGTTTCCCGAACTTTTCTCATGTGGGGAGTATGATGTACTAGAGCTTAGCTCTTCACAAACAGAAGCTCGACTGCTTCCCCGGTGCCGTCGGATCAAAGGGCCGCTCGTAGTCCGCTGCCGTCTCCCCGTCGTCGCCGTCAAACAATCGACAGTTAGCCGGCCGTGTGCGCCGTGTGCGAGCGCGCCGTAAACATTAAGATGTTCCGATTGGTTAGCGCGGGCGACTATAGCTCATTGGTGTCAGGTGAGTCAGCGGCGCGGAGTAGCTCCGGTGCGTCGCGCCTGTCATGGGAACGATCGGCCGTCATTGCATGTCCAGCTCGCGCATAACACGCACGCTTGCATTACGCAGCGCACCACCCCCCGACGAGGGCACGGCTAGCCGTCTCCCTCCTTCGCCGCGATTCGTCCGTCCCGCCGGCGTTTGTCCCGCTCGCACGGAGGGCGTGCGGGGAGGGGGCGCTGCAGGCGGGTCGTAAATCACGCGGCGTCTCATTCCACGCGGGGCCGCCGTCGTTGCCGCATGTATCGCACTCCCTCTCCGACCGGCACCGCGGCGCGTCTTCCGCGACGTGTTTACCTCTTCGCTCTTTGCAAGTCAACTATTGTTCTCCTGTAAAACAGTGTTCGGAATTGATAAAGTGCTGGTTTCATGGATCCAAGGCGTCTTAGAGTAGCGCAGTGTGGAGTATTTTGAGAAAATTTCGTCCAAAATGATCGTCGAGCCCGACCACGTGAGGTAGGTTCTGGTGTTTGTTCGTTTGTTTCGTTGTTTTCCCTTTTAATCTTTTCTTATTTTGGTTTTACGTATGAATAGTACTCGTAGACTATTTTATTTCATTGAATTCAGAGTTCTGCGTTATTAAAATGAACGAGTGCATCTAACTAAACTTTTGTTTTTGTTTTAAGTTTGATAAAATGTGACTTGTATGCTGAATGTTAGTCTCATTCAAGGACCTGAAATGATTTTAACTAACATTTATTGTTATGTTTCATCATCACCATCGAGGATACCATAATATACATTTAATCACAGTTTAAGTTTTATAAATATTTGATATATCGCAATGACAAACAATTAATTATCGTATATTCTAAAAAAGTGTGACGGTAACACATCGATTCTCAACAATTAAATATCAATATTTTTTTATCATCACAAAACTTGAAGTTTTGTTTAGAGAAATTAAAGTATAGAGTAAGACCTCTCAAATTCGTTGGAAGTTTTATTCTAGTTTATTTTACGAATAAATAAATAATAAAAGGAAAGAAACGTAAAGGTTCTTGTTAACCCAATTAACGACTGCTTTATTTTTTATTTGTCGCTACGATAACACACTCGAATAATATTATAATAAGTTCTTTTATTACGAAAACTCAACCCGTTTATTAGCGTCAGGCTTCTATTTCACAAAATAAACGTTTCCTCGGCACCGTAATTAATTATTCTTAGGTCGCTAACGCATATGTTATCAATATTTATGTGTGTCACTTCTTATTATAAATTCTACGGTGTAAATGATTTGGAAGTATAATTATTCTTCTACCGAACGACGCTCGTCGTTGTTTTATTATATCCATTATTGAATAAATATTTCTTTAGCAGATGTAAAACTTGTCGCATTTTCGTTTCTATTGAACGCTAATTTAAATATAAGTTCGTACGTAGTACACGTAGCATATGAAAATAAACACCGCGATATTGCCAGAATTAAAAATACAAAAGAGTAGTAAATGTTAAAAAACACAGTTGTACAGATCACAGAGATGACTTTATTGAAATTTTCAAACATTAAAATAAAAAAAGTTTTTATGATTTGACCACAGGTCAAGAGACGTAACTTGCGTTTTCCGGAAAAAAAAGAAAAAAAAACCGGTGACTTGTTTTTTTAAATTAATTGACTATTGCGTAAATAATACGTATCGTTAAAAATACGTATTCAAATACGATAGGAGGTGCGGCATTCGCGATCGCTGTAGTGTTCTGATTACCAGCGAGTCCCTCTTCTTGCCGTCGTTTTGGGGAGGCACTCACCCAGCATTGGGACACGCATAGGCCGTTACTTTACTTCAGTTTGTACGTTGTCCGCAGGGAGAGCCCGAGATGCCTGTCGCGGGAGTCGTCGGGCGCGCCCCGCTGCCCCTCCAGCGACTCGGTCTATTCGGGGCGCGGCGCCGGCCTCCCGCTGCCCGCCGCGCTGAGCGCCGCCCTGCCGGCCGCGCTGCCCGCCGCGCTGCTGCCCCCGCACTCGGCGGCGGTGGCGGCCTACCTGGGCGCGGCCGCCGCGGCCGCCCAGCAGCGCCTGCTCATGTCCTGCCACGCGGACCTGGACCCCGAGCGCGCGGACGCCCTCGACTTCAGCACGAAGCGCGCCGACTCGCCGCTGGACGAGGACGACGAGGACGCCGTCAACCTGACCAAGAACGAGAACGGACCCCTGGACCTGTCCGTGGGCGCCAGGAAGCGGGCGCCCGACGACTGCCCCTCGCCCGTGCCGACGCGAAAGAGCTCGCGGCCCGCCGAGTTCAAGCCGACCCACTCGCCGTGGTCCACGCCGGTGGCGCCCCACTTGCCCTACTTCGCGGCCGCCGTCGCCGCGGCGAGCCTATCGCCGAAGGGCGGCGTGCCCTCCGATTGGAACGGCAAGCTGAAGCACGGCGCGCCCACGCCGAGCGACGCCACCAAGGCGCTCGAGAAGATGAGCGAGCTGAGCAGGCTCGGCGGCGAGGAGCTGTTCCGGTCGGTGCAGAGCGCGGCCCTCGGCGCCGGGCTGACGCCCAACGCGGCGGCCCGCCACTCCGCCTGGCAGTCGCACTGGCTCAACAAGGGCGCGGACCAAACCAAGGACGTGCTCAAATGCGTCTGGTGCAAGAAGAGCTTCAACTCCCTCGCGGACCTCACCGTGCACATGAAGGAGGCGAAGCACTGCGGCGTGAACGTGCCGGTGCCGCCGTCGACGGGGGCGCCCCTGCCCCCCTCGCTGCAGCCCCCATCGAGCTCGCCGTCCACCCCGTCTCACAACTCTTCGTCGTCCAGCGGCTCTTCGAAGCCCAATCACAACGACCTTAATATGCTCATCAAGGAGAACATGCCGATACCTAGGAAGCTAGTCCGCGGGCAGGACGTGTGGCTAGGCAAGGGTGCGGAGCAGACTAGGCAGATACTGAAATGCATGTGGTGCGCGGAGAGCTTCCGATCTCTCGCCGAAATGACGAGTCACATGCAACGCACTCAGCATTACACGAACATTATATCTCAGGAGCAGATCATCTCGTGGAAATCGTCCGACGACGGTAAGGGTTCCAACTCGGGCGGCCCAGGCGCCAACAACGCGGCGCCGCCTACCACTGGCACCACAAGTAGCCACGTAAGCGCCGTCCTAACGTGTAAGGTCTGCGACCAAGCTTTCAGCTCATTGAAGGAGCTTAGCAATCACATGGTTAAAAACTCACATTACAAAGAGCACATAATGAGGTCGATCACGGAGAGCGGCGGCAGGAGACGACAGACGCGCGAGAAGAGGAAGAAATCGCTGCCGGTGAGAAAGCTGCTGGAGCTCGAGAGGGCGCAGCACGAGTTCAAAAACGGGGAGGGCAACGGGGTGCCAATGGGGAAGCCCATTAGGGACTTCAGCGCGGGCAGCAGGATCACGTGCGAGAAGTGCGGCGACAAAATCGAAACCGCCGTGTTCGTCGAGCACATCAGGCAATGCATTGGCGCGCCAATGTCGAATAACCAGAGGAACTTCCTGAAGAGCGCACTCCTTTCGAACAACATCATCCCGCCCGACGTGCCCGGCCACGTGACGCCCACCGGACGCGACGGCCGAAAGAGCATCAACGAGGAGCTGCCCTCGCCCGGCTCCGCCCACCATCGCTCCCCCTCCTCCGTGAACGACTCCTCGCCGAGCTCCAAAGACCCGAATGCGAGCGACGACAAAAGCTCGTCGCCATCCGTTTTGAACGCCATCGAGCAGCTGATCGAGAAGAGTTTCGACACCCGCTCGCGGCACTCGATTCCCGGCATGCCCGGCGCCGCGGCCCACGCCCCGATAGGCTCCAGCATCCTCAAGCGGCTGGGCATAGACGAGAGCGTGGACTACACCAAGCCCCTGGTGGATGCGCAGACCATGAGCATGCTGAGGAGCTACCACCACCAGCAGGGGTACGGGCGCCGCGAGCGCAGCGGCAGCGAGTCCAGCTCGATGTCGGAGCGCGGCGGCAGCAGGGTCGAGTCGCTCACGCCCGACAGGAAGCTGGACTCGTACCACATGACGCCGCGCACCACGCCCGACACGCGCGGCTCCCAGACGCCCGCCGCCGAGGAGCGCCCCGCTGAAGTGCGGATCAAGAAGGAGGCGCCCGACGAGGAGGAGCGCGAGGGCGGCGTCGACCTGAGCGGCCGGCCCGTACGCGTCAAGACCGAGGTGGAGGAGGACGAGGAGCCGCGGCCGGCCAGCGCGGAGGCGGACGTGAAGCCGGCGCTGGCCAAGCGCGAGAGCGAGGGCCGCAGCCCCTCGGCCAGCCCCACGAGCCCCGCCAGCGACCGCTCCGGCCCCACGCCCGGCGCCGAGCGCAAGTCCAGCCTGGGCGCCCTCTCCTCCATGTTCGACAGCCTGGCCGGGGGCGGGAGCTCCGGCGAAGCGAGCTCGTCGCGCCGAGGCGGCAGCCACCCGCTGGCCGCGCTGCAGAAGCTGTGCGACAAGACGGAGAGCAACCCGCCGCGGGCGCCGCCGCCCGCCCCCTCCCCCGCGGGGCCGCCCAGCATCCTCACCTTCAGCTGGGCGTGCAACGACGCGGTGGTCACGGACTCCGTGATGAAGTGCGCCCTCTGCGACACGCCGTTCATCTCGAAGGGCGCGTACCGCCACCACCTGTCCAAGATGCACTTCGTGAAGGACGGCGCGCTGCCCGAGCCCTCGGCGGCCAAGGCGCCGCCCGCGGCGGGCTCGCCGGGGGCGGCCAGGGGCTCGCCGGGGGCGGCCAAGGGCTCGCGCGCGCCCTCCCCGCAGGCGCCGCGCAGCCCCTCGCAGCCCTTCGACGAGAGCCCCCACTCCAAGTTCCTCAAGTACACGGAGCTGGCGAAGCAGCTGTCCAGCAAGTACGTGTAGGCGCCGCCCACCTGTGATCATACCATATCGTACCGCTGCGCTGAACCTCCCTAGGCGTAGGTCGCCGCGGCGACGCTAAGTATTTCGAAACTCTTTGCCAATTTCATTATTTCTAGGTAATGTCGTTAGAGTTCACCGCATTGTTCGGTTAGTGTAATTAACGTATAGCGGAATAAGTATACGCCAAACGTCTTACGTTCGTTTTTAGGTTTAAGGGGAACATTTTGAGGAAAAAAATAAATAATTCGTCGTCGCCTTTAGGTGAAACGGGCCGGCGCCGCCCGCCGCTTATCTTCCACACTACGATTCCATTTCGATAATTTGTAAATATAAGTCGCATTAAGTCTCGGGAGGATTTCGATTCGATCTCTTTGTACATGTATAATATTTTCTCCGCCGAAGGTCGAAGCGCGCCAACTCTCAGTGTCCCACTGTGGAACTGGAATTGTTGCGATATCACTCTTAGCCGCGCCACTTGGTTTCCCCTCGCGCGGGCCGGAGTTAGGCTTGGCTGAATTAGTTTGTTCTATGTATATTTTGATGGTTTCGTTTCGCGAGTGGCGATCGACGGCCTAAGCCCGCAATCTCGGAGATCCAATCTCAGCTCGGCCCAGGGCGTTGTACATAGCGCGCCGTGATCCGTCATTCGATGCAATATAACAATCTCCTTAGTGTAAAATACGCTCTAGGCCCGTACGCTCTCACCGCGAGATCGCTATTTATTATTTAGTGGTAAGTACGTAATATTAGGCGACCTTACTGTGAACACTTGTATACCATTGTACCGGCGTTATTCGGTTGTCCAAACCAAGCTATGCTAGGAGGGAAAGAGAGAGGTGATAATACGTTATACAATATTTTTCATTTGTTTAAAAGGACGACGACATACGTATACGGCTAGGTACATTCGAAAACAATGTAACGAGAGAATTCTTCCAATTTAAACAACAAGATATACGAGTTGTATATACGGTACTAGCGAGTGGAAAACTCTTTTATATTTAATAAATAATAAAAAAAAAATATTGTAAACTGTCTAAAGTAAGTTTCGGGAGATGTCGAACGATTCCACGTGAGACGCGCACTCGTAAAATAACCGATTTCGTTGTCTATTTGCTGTTTGCTTGTTTTTTCTATTTTATTTTATTGAGTTTATTGGAATGTCTGTCGATAGTTATTACTATACCTGTCTGTCTGTTCATAATCTTCTGTTCGTATGTTTCTTCGTTTCGTTACTGGCGGTTATTTTACGAGCGGGTTTCACACGAGTGATGTTCGGAATCGTTGGATCTTATCATTTTAACGATAATTAATGAAACCTACGACAAATATTATGTATACGCTAGCTCTGATGAGACGATTTTTGCTCATTCATTAACGAGAAATAAACGGTGTTGAATTATTGATTTTACCAAATTAAATAATCTTATTTAATATTTTTATGTTGTATTTCAAAATGCAATTAAAAGCTCAAAGAAATATATATGTTAAATACTTTATGTCTCTTTTATTTAATCATACCCACCACTATTGTAACATATAAACATAATCTGGAGAAAATTAGATAAATAAAGACCATTTTCCAATTTTCAATGAAACGGAAATATGAATAAAGTTGATGAAAAACTTCATAAAAAACGGAAAACCACGACATTAACACTTACACAAAGTTACCTTCTGTATGCAGTCAAGAAAGCTTATTGGTGCATTATCCTATTATTTAAACCCATGACTAATATCCTATCTTTATGCAACCTGCCTAAAACATTTAAATGTCCAACATATTACATATATAATATGATACAATAAACTGACTTAGCTACCGAATTTCGGCAAAATCTGATTATAAAAAAGCGATTAGTTTTAAGAGTCAACTGCCATAGCCTTCCTTTCAGCAATTTGTCAAACACTATGAGGACACAAAATATAAGGCTGTCACGAAAATAGTTTCGAAGACTGTCGGTTTTAATTTAAACAATTTCATCTCTTGGCTAGTGAATATTACTTAAAGAACAGGATTTAAATTCGTATAGCAAATAAAAATGGAAAAAGCCTCTATCTAAGCAATTCTTGATAAATTTTCTCGTTTTTTCTAAAATTTGTATTGGTGTCACTTCATTTGACTTAGTTTTCTATTACCTTAATTCCAGTTTCATGATAATATTCTTTATGAATAAGTATCTTATCATTATGTGAAATAAGTAAGTAAATGTAAATAATATAGACTAAAATAATGTGTACTAAGCATAATTTATATTTAACCACACAAAGATAAGACAAAAAGGGTTAGACGTAGGTAAACCTATCAAATATGTCAGCTGTTTGGTTTTTCCCGATTTCATCGACAAATCTTGATAACTTTATGATTACTTCCGTTTAAATTAAATAATAATCTTGTTACAGTAGGATAGTGTAATTTTCCCCTAAGTAAAATATAATTATGGTAGGTACAATCGATCTAGTAGTTTCAGAATTACCAATACTGCATTTTTATAAACATATTATTCTTTTATAAAAAGTTAGTATGATTTTACGTAAAGGAAAGAGAGAAAAAAAAACTATTTAAATTTTGGTCTTTGGATATCTTACAATCTCTTTTTTTATGTGAGAAAGTGGCAAGGGAACTGAAAGCGAATCGCTTTACCTGATGCCAAGTGATAGATGCTGCCCAGAAAATCTGCAAAACTGGTCAGGTTCTAGATGTGTTGTCAACTTTTAAAAAAGACTTGACAGTATAACACACACTTCACGCCGGTCTTCTGTACGACCGTAGTACTTCACGTGGCGAAACTGCCCGTTCGTGCAACAGATACGGCTGTTGCATAACCTTACAAAAGAAATATGCAACAATTATAAACGCATAACACCGATTCCTCCCAAGGGTGATTCGAGAGGCTATTGAAATTAAAAAACACCCTAATTTCAATAGAGAAGAGGGTACTACCATCAGCTTGGGATTTTACTCTGTCATCAATAAAATTAAATCTAAGCCCAAACGAACCACTACTGCAAGACAAGATATAATTAGCTCCCTCTGCATAGATCGGACACAAAATTAATAATACAAAAACTGACGGTAGCCCGGGTTAACTATGACAATCAGACGTCTAACACCTCACTCTGTCCCGTGACCATGAACGCTGTAAAGGGTTCGAAACGTCGGGAATTAAAATTAAAAATAAACGCGATAAATCCGTAAAATTTGTTTCATTTATAACGCATAAAAACTAACTCGTGTAACCCAGAGGGGTGGGCAGAGTTTACGGATTTTCATTTTCTCACATTACTAACGCTCACACAATCACAGGCGGTTTAAAAGCTAGTGTTTCGAAATGATTATAATGGATTGACTTAATGATTAAGTTATAAAACTACTAAACGATCAAATCAGTATCAAAGTCTATCATTGCGTGTCAGTTCTTAACAAAAGGAGGAAAAGATTTCTCCGTCCTCTTTTTATAAAAGAACTTAGCAAATCACACACAAAACTTAGTAAGATCACAGCCCATGGACATTAGTTTGAACTACTTTGAAAGGTTTGAACGTTCTTCGCCAATTTTGATGAATGACAATGCCCAAACGTAAGCCTAGGGGTTAAACTACGCTTTTCGCTATAGGCCGTTTGTAGCTTTGGCGTCGAAACCGGGGGTCCCGTGTGAAGTTTGGATCTTGGTGTATATTCCCAAGAAGAGTTGGTCAGGCAGGCGGCTGGTCGTAAAAACTTAGTCAATACAATTAACCACATGAATCACGTTGTTCCGTACCCACTAAGGTGGGATAAAGGCAGTAGAAAGAAAGATAGAGAGTAACACCGCCACATAATAGAGTAATTGGAACCAATGACGCATCGTTGGATTGGTGGCGAAGTATTGATATGGACTATCCGTAATCGACGTTGATTGTGTATCATTAGCGATAGGCGGCAGAATACACCAGGCGGGTGATTGATTAACGATAAGGCGTAATGCATTTTTCTGTCGATTAGTTGTTCTCTAGATAAGGCGCGACCTTCTCGGATGAAGTAGATAAGGATGGAACGCCGATATTGAATGAAGAGTATAGTACTTTGAAATATATTACAAACATGACATTTATTTCGAACAAGTTATACATTATATGAAATCGAGTTAGAAATTAGAATAATGTGTTAGTTGACAAATAAAGCCGTGATAGCTCAGTGTCCGGGCGCTCGCCTTTAATTCAATATACTCGAGCAACCTGAGTTCGATCCCCGGTGCCGGCACCAATGAAGTTTTTAACTTTAAGTGCTGACTTATTACGTGCTCCGCGGTGAAGGAAAACATCGTGAGGAAACCTGCATATTTTCGAAATAATACCAAAAAAATATATATTTCGAAGATATGTGAAGTCCGCCAACCCGCAGTGGGGCCGCGTGGTGGACTATGCCCTGATACCCTCTCTATAGAGGAGGCCTTTGCCCAGCAGTGGGACATGTATAGGCTGTTACTTTTACAAATAAAATTTAAAAGTAGGCCAATAGTCAGATAAACGAAATTGTTGCTCAAACAATTACTTGCCCCAGTAAGGGCTCGAACCCACGACAACTTAAGAAATGTACCTACTGAGAAATTGATTATATGTGAGAGATTATTTAACAATTTATAAATTTCTTGTATGATACATATGAACATAATATGTTTACAGTCACATAAAAATATAGTTGTTATAAGCGTTTTAATTAAATATTTAAAACACGCGTTATATGATAACCAGAAAACTATTTGATAAAAATAAGTAGCATTGGAGAACATATAAACGAGTGCGTCAGTGAGTAAAAGTTGCAGAACACGGATGCTGGATGCCGCTTGCTGTAAACGGAAACGATAACAAGGATTTTGTAGTCCAGTAAGAATTAAAAATATCTCACGAATTCGTTTTGTCGCAATACTATTTTTCATTTCCTACTGGTCATAAATGACGATTCTACATGTAGGTACTTCTTAATATAACAATATGGTGACGCTGTATAGTAGTTG